CACACACACACACACACACACACACACACACACACACACACACACACACACACACACACACACGCACACACACACACACACACACACACACACACGCATCCATCCGCATACACGCAAACACGAACTCTTTCAATCTGGGCGAGCATATCATCAGAAAACCCACCCGCACTCGCACACAAACACACACACGTCCCGGCAGCGGGCGCACTCACCGTGTGATACTGTCGAGTGGAGATTCGCGCGATCCGCGCCGTCATTCCAGACAGCAATCTGTCGACCTTTTGGCTTATGCTTTTCGTTCGCGAGTGTGCTGCGTGGAGTGCTTTGTGTTTGCTAGGGCAGTGCGTGGAGTAGTGGTCGCCAGAAGTGTCGACACAAGACGTCGAATATGACGTGGACAACGACTTCAAAGGTGGAGGGAGATACGAGGGCATGCGGGATGCGTCAGTGCCAGGAAACCAATGCGGTGACGAATGGTTGTCTCTACTCTTTGCCAGCTATGGCACTCCACCTGTGCGGGGTGGTGTTGTTGACGACAGTGGCGGTGCGAGGCTTCCGTCGGGCAGCATCTCCCCAGCAAAAACGCAGAACACAACGTTAATGCCTAGGGCGCCGCTCGTACTTGTAGGCGCGCGGGACTCGAGGCCCCCTCGGGCCTTTCGTTTCGGAAAATCGCACAGGGACCGTACACCACCGCACGATTGTTCGATCCTCGCATCGAACAGTGGCTCCGCGTCGAAATTTCCCCGACGGGGACCTGGTGAGCACGACATGACAAAAAAGTCCCTATGGGCCAGCCCTTCCCGGGCGTCATTAAAAAATAGAGCCCTTTTTCCTGGCCGCTCGCGTTCGTGTCATCGGGTTCGCGGGCCCCGCGCGAGGGGGTCTCAGGCAGCGCAAGGGGGGCAGCTTATATTTTCCAGTCCGTTGGGGGGGGTGGGGGGGGGGGGGGGGGGGCTGCGGGAGGGGAGGTTGGAGGGGTTCATGGGCATTCGCGTCCCCTGCCTGGCGAGCGGGGTCCGAGGCCATGCGGGGGGACACAGGCGGGTCTTTCCATGGGGTGCGACGACAGTTCGGGGCTCCGCTGCCTAGGGTCTTGTGCAGCGCATTCGCATCTCCAGCCGTGACGAGCGCATTCGCGCGCGACGTGCCTTCGGCGACCTCCTCCATCGCCTTTGATGCTCCGCTGTTGCGCCACGTGTCTGCGGGCGTCCCTCTCGTCGCCAACTCTTTCCTGTCCTTCTGCCCGCTGCTGGGGTCCAGTTGTCGGCGCTTCGACATTCCTTCTTTGTGTTATGCGGTAGTAATTGACCGCCGTGGTCTACGCTCAGCCCTTTGTCGAATAGTCGCGCCATCGTGTGCACTTCGTCATCGTCGAAGAATTGCGCGTCGTCCAAGACTTGTGCCCCGTCAGAGAGCTGCGCCATCGTGTGTGTTGTGCCCTTGTTAAGGTAAAGTGGTTTTCTGCCTGCCCACGTGTCAGTCGTCGCACATGCTTGCCGGCGCATGGGAGCAGCCACATTGCGCCACGTGACGCAAGTCGCGGGGACGGCTGGAACGGATGTGGATGACATTGGGCCACATGGTTTCTGTATGCCCTTTTGCTTCCCACTCGTTCGTTCCTCGCGAGCGGCCCCTTCACTCTTGCTTACCATCATCATCATCATCATCATCATCACCATTATCATCATCAAGATCGTCCTCCAATCCATTTATGATTTATATAACTTTGACATGCTTCTTTTGCCATTTTTTGAATTATTTTGATTGTTTTGTGGATTAGTATTTACAAATAATCATCAACGTCATTTTCTGAATTATTTGATTGTTT